CAGACGGGTTCCTTTCCTTGTCTTCACTGGCATAAGTATGATTACTGGTCCCGATGTTTTACGTCAGTGCTTTTGTCACTGGTGTGTTTTCACTGTCAGTTTGCAGCCGGTAGAAGGAGCGGGGGCAGTTGGTTGGACGCGCCAATGCCATGGCCCATGGCGCCGCCAGCATCATCATTTTTCTAACCTCCTAGTGCGAACCGACCTCAGGAACAACCGAACGACGATGCAGTTATTAGTTGTGCGTGTGGTTCGTCGCAAAAGAACTCCATTATGCCTCCGCCTACCTCGTCTGACCGATACATGTTCTCCGTCTCTGACAACTGTCCGGCTCTCCACCGAGGAGGCGGGCAACAAAATGTCGATGCGTTAGCTGCTGCATTTCTTTTTCTTTTTTCCTCTCTGACTATGGAAACAAACGCGATATCATTAGTTGCGAATCGAAAGGGCCACTAGTAGTAGCAAGAGAAAAGGCGGAAGAGGAATTGATGCTTGAGTGGATGGAGCACATCGCAGGCAGGAGGATGTGTATGTCTTGACTCTTGAGGCTCTTCGGTCTTCGCTGTGCTGCTAGCTGTCTGGCACATTAATCTGAGTACTCTACAATCTCGCTGAACATTTCTTCAGAAAACCTTACTCCCACACAGCTGAGCTGGCACTTTGGGCCCAACCTTGGTCGCAATATTGAGCAGCACGGATGAAATGGAATGGAGTTGGAGCCGATGACAATCAGTTCCCGGCAGCCTGTTCTGGGTTCAGGGAGGGCCTGAACCTGATGTGATGCAGACTTTGTTTAAATACGATCCACACCAACACATATGCATTGAAATAGATTCACATGCATCGAACAAAGGCCGTAGGCGTAATTACCTCCACCAGCACCATCCTCGTGTTGCGCAGTGCACATTAAAATCCAGTCAATTCAGCTCGGGATTTCGTTCAGTTCAGGGTACGGGTTCGGTAATAAAGGCGCCGGGATCGGTCTGGGTCGTGGCCGGGCCGTAAATGTAATGGCTGGTTATTCATCAGCGTGCCTCGCATCGCATCTGTACGAGAAGACTATCCTGTTCGTTTTTTGTTTCAGCTAGGTATATTTTTTCTCTTATAATAAATCAGCATCAGTCAGATTTATCAGCTAGAAACCAACTTACCAACAGGCCTGTCATCAGCGTGTACAGTACGTCTCGCCGAGAAAGGCCGCTCCGGGTGCAGAGGACCTAGCTGCCGGTAGCCGTGGATTCATTATTCGAGCCGGGCAGCCAGAGGCAACGTGAGCAGCAGCAGCTACAGGTTACGAGGTCTCGCAACGTGAGCGCAGCTGCTACAGAAAGGCCGCGTTCGGTGGTTCAGAACGGACCTTAGCTGCCGGTAGCCGTGGATTCCGTGTGGATTTCCATTCGAGCGGGCCCTTAGCGATAATGGCGCTGCTCTCGATCCAGGAAAGAAAGAACCCTTATCAGAACTCTCCTTTCCGTGCTCATTGCTGTAGTGTAGGTGAGAGTTTGTTGGATTGCCGACTTGCGTCGGTTGGGCAAGTAATAAGTAGCGGTACATGAACGGGCCTATCGATAAGATTGATGAGCCCAAACAAATGAAACGCGATGGAGTAGGAGTACATGACAAGGTCCACGACGGGCTTGGGGTGTCACGCCGTTTGTCGTTGACACCTCAAAGCGCGCGCTGGCTGCAGCGCTCGACGACGGACGTGTACTGTACACCTCAAAGCCGGCCGGGCACGGGCACCAACAGGTGAGTCGAACGATTCGTCGTCGCGTGCTTGAGCCGCTCTTGGATCTCATCGACCAACCCAGCACCTATGCGTCGTCATGTCATCTTTCTGCCTCGAGATCCACAGGAAAAGGGTCACCGTCAGCCTGCTGTCGATCGCGGAATCGCAGTAGTGCAGGTACTTGCCACCACTCACGAACTCACGGTTCCAACTCCCTCGGTCCCGCTCGCGCTTGTCTTCATTTTGCTTGCCTCCCAGTGCAGTGCGAGTGCATTGTCCAGCGGAGACGGCGACCGCTGCTGTCGTCTGTCGAGCCGAGCGCCCGAGCGCACACCTCTCAACCGTCCACCGCTGCTCAAGATCTCCCTCGTGTTGGCATGACCAAAGATAATTCAGACTGTTCGCTTGCTCGTAAATGATCGTAAATTTTTATCTAGAAATAGCGTTTTTCTCTCATACCAAACTAACCAGCAATAAATAATCCACGACCGAACAGGCTGAATGCATCGCCCAACTCCAACTGGCCAGCACCAACGGGCCTGGTGGGTTACTTCTTCGAGGCCCTTGTCGTGTCCATGCATGGCGCCCATATCTTTGCCTTTGCCGTGCCGTGCCGTACACTCCCCATAATGTCTCGAGACAGAGACACGTGGGAGATCTTGAGCAATTACTCTGGGGGTTACGAGTTACTGGCATTATTTTGTGTCACTCTCCCCTGTGGTACTATACTACTATAATTACTTGTTATCTCTCACGCAACGCAAGCAGCACCTGATGACCGGGAAAAACGAAAGCACGTTCGTTTAGCTATGACTTGTTGTAAATGATCGTAAATTTTCAACTAGATCAGTATTTTTCTCTCACACAAACTAACCAGCAGTATTTCTTTATGAGCCAACAACAAAACGAACCAACCAACCGAACAGACTAGGAGTCTGGAAGGGATGAGCGTGGAAGGGATGAGCGTGCACGTGCAGCGGAGCACCAGCACACCTGCACAAAAAGGAAGGCGCAGGCACAACCAGAGAAACGATCCGCCGGCACCGCTCGGACGGAGGCACAACACAACACCAGTGACCAGCCCGGCAGCCCCGGAACGGCGTGCGTGCGCACGCGGGTCGCTGGCTGGCTGGTTTTGGGCAGACTACAGGCACGGTTTACATAAACAGTGTCTTTTAAATCAGAATAATATTTTTCTCTTACGATAACCCAATCAGAGCAGTATTTTTTTTTTCTTATTCAACCCGTCGGCCGAACACTCCCCACAAGGCCCGCCTCATCCCAAGCACGAGTCGGTGAAGACAGGTTGCGCTCCAAGGAGAAGGAATTGCTTCTTTATTTTTTTTTATTAGGAAGATCCGGAGATCCAAGGAATTACTAGGCCAGACAGATGTTGACGTTGGCATATATCGCAGGCTCAGAGAAAGAAACAACAAAGTGCGGTATAGCTAGCTGTAGCTTTCGGTCTCGCGCATCGTCCCAACAACCGCGCGGCGATTAAGGGGGTGTTTTCATGTTTTTTTGAATGATAAAACTTTTATCTTTAATCTTTTGCTATAAATTTTTTGGCATTTGGTGTTTAGATGTATGCCAAAACTTTAGCCAAGCAGACACAGCACGCGCTCCCAAGACGTTTTTTTTTATAGTTTTGAGTCTCTTGGGTCCTAAAAGTTTTGCAGCCTAAGTTTTGTTGTTTTTGCCTATGGTGTTTAGATCTATTTTGCCAAAAAATAAGATAAAATAGCAAAAGTTTTAGTCAAAATAGGGAACTAAACATGCCCTAAGGCAAACAAAACACAAGAGATTTCTAGCGGTAGCCACACCCGCGGCTCTTCGGATATTTCGGCTTGATGCCTCCCTCCCACCGGCCGCCGCTAGCATAGCTGCAGGACGTTTTTTTTTCTCAAGTGCAAGCCAGCCGTGGTGCCTGCCATGCCTGATGGAGTGCTGGGCGTGTGGCCTATGGAATTGCATACCGCCCTACAGTATTGTGTGACAGGAAGGTCAAGAACTCGTGCAGTCTTCCTGGATCGGTGCGACGGTGCCGACACCCATCCGCCGGGCGGCCAGACTGCTGCGCGGCACACAGAGGCCAGAAAGCGCGGGAACCAACGGTCGCCCCCCGGGGGCAGTGGGCACCCACCGCCAGACACCGACCCCACTGCTACTACTACTAGTCTACTACTAACTTTGAATCAGCCCATCAGTGCGGGTGGGCCCGCGGCGGCCCAACTGGCCACCAAAGCCCGAGATCCCGTGACCGGTTGCGATCATGCATGCGATCCGGGCATCCTGCTCCTGCCGTGGGCGGTTGCGGACTTGCGGTTGCGCTCCCGCCGAATTCCAATTGTTGCCCAAGCCTGCAACCGCACGCCGCCGCGCCGCGCGACCCCCCCATCCATCTCCTTTCCTCCTTCCAAGACTCCGCTCCCCAGTCCCCGGTCCCCCACCACCTCTCTCTGACTGAATTGCTGCTGCGCCTGCGCGGCGAACAACCGACAGGGCAGCCGCGACGCGCGCCCGTACGCCCGATCGGGATCGCACGGCGCGGCCGGCGACGGCAGCGTACGTACGATGGCGATTGCCGACTGGCGATCGTCACGTGATCAGCCGCGTCTCCCGCCACTACTACGCATCACGCGAATCCGCGCCTCGCCTTTAAACGCATCGTCCCCAATGCGCTGCTGCAGTTGTAGCATTGCACTGTACGTTTGTCACGTAGGAGGGTGTACCAGCATCTGCAGGGCCAGCCGGGCAGGGCAGAGCAACCTTCATCCTTCTCGCCTAGCGAATGTGTACTCGTACTGGACAAGTCATTAATCAAGTGGTAAAAAAGTGAAAATTTGCACATCATTGCCCTCCAAAATGTACTACGTACTGGGTCCATGGTCGATCAACGATCATTATGCGTTCCGCCTACCGTAGATTATTTACTGCTGGTTGGTTTGATGCGAGAGAAAAACACGGTTCCCGACTGGAAATTTACGATCGTTTACGAGCCAGCGAACGTGCTACAGAAGTCCACAAGAACCAAGGCAAAAGACAGCAGGATCCTAATCCTGCTACTGGCACTAGATCTAAAAGAGCAGGAGATTGACTAATACTAATAGAAGGATGATAATGAACAAATGAGAAAAAACAGAGAAAGAAGTCATGCATTCTACACATTTTGCCATCGTTCATTCCCCCATTTTCATCAGCCATTCCTTTTGGCAGGAGCACCAGTTTTTTTTTTAACCTTTTTCCCCTTTTTTCCTAATAATAATGCTTGCTACGAGAGGAACACTTGCACCGTGCCGGTGACCGCGCCACGGCACATGGGGCAGGCAGCAGCGACGGCGCCGGCGCCGGCAGCGAAGGGGGCGGCGGCGGGGACGGCGGGCTCGCACTCGGCACAGACGCACAGGTGGCGGCACGGGAGCAGCACGACGGAGGCCGAGCGCTGCCTGCACGTCCGGCACGGCCTGGCCGGCGCCGGCGGCCGCGGTGGGGCGATCTCCACCACCCTGTCCGGGTCGACGAAGCAGGACCCGGCGTCGTCCGCCGCGGCGCCGCCGCCCGCGTTGTCCTCCTCTTCCTCGGCGGCCTTGCCCCTCGCCTGCGCCGCGGCCGCCGCCTGCTGCAGCTGCGCGTGGAGCGCCGCGGCCGTGGACTGGTCCGCGAGCGCCTTGGCCTGCCACGCCGCCGCCTCCGCCCTCAGCCGCGCCACCCGGTCCTCCAGGTCGGCGCCGCGCCGCGCGGCCTCCGAGACCTCCGCCTCCTTCTCCCTTATCCGCTGCGCAGCCGCCGCCTCCGCCGCGCCGACCAGCGAACGGTAGTGCCGCCGCCGAGTGTCGGCCAGCGCGCGCCGGAGCCTCTCCGCCTGCAAGCGACAAGGAAGGAGCCCATAAGCAACAGAGGCCAGTCCGGTCGAAATCGGCGGCGCAATCGATCAAGCGGTTCTTACATGTTCCTGGATCAGCCGGTCCATCTCGTTCTTGTGCTGATCGCGCTGCGCGGCGAGCTCTTCGGAGAGGAGGCACGACGCCGAGGCCGAGGACGTGCACGACACGTGCTCCGAGCCCTCGTCGAAGTCCAGCCGGAGACCCATCGCCGGCCGCTTGTGCAGTTGCGCCAGGTTGATTAACTTGGGCGCCTGCGCCTGCGGTTGTTGCTGCAACGAGAAGAACTGCGGCGACATGGACTCCGCCTCGCGCTGCCGCTTCCTCCCGCCGCCGCAATCTATGTGCACACAACAACCCAACAAATAAGTCCGAAAGCAGAACAGAAGGGTGCCCAAGAAGACGAAATCTACGGAGCCAAGGCGGGATTTGTTTGATCTGGTTACCTCCATGCGAGAAGTCCAAGAAGAGGGGCGGAGCCTGCTGCGGCGCCATCGCCTCCTTCTGCGCCTGATGAAGCTCCATCGCCGCCGCCAACCGGCTGCTCTCCGGCGTGCCGCCGCCGCCGCCGCTGACAACCCAGACGCTCAAATCACCCATCCGAATCCGATCCAGCAGACCGACGATCAACGCGGAAGAAACGATTAGAAGATGTACAGCGGCGACGGCAGGTACCTGACGAGGAAAGGGGACTCGCGGTGGTGGTGGTGGTGATAATGCGCCTGCACCGCCATTGCTGGAGCTGGGGCAACCAAACCAATCGAAGCGACGGACGGGTGGAAGCACGCGCGCGCCAAGCGTGTGAGAGTCGGGTGGCAGTAGGAGGACGGAGAGAGTCGCGGGCAACGCGAACGAACTGGTCCACCGCCTCCTCGTCCTCGTCTTAAGAGGGCGTCATGAGGAGCGTGGCGTGGGCGTTGGCTGGCTGCTCCTGTCAAGCCTCACCTGCTGCGCGCATGCAGTTTGCAGGGAGGACACGGGTGGCAGGCAGGAGAGGCGTGGCTGGCCGCTGGCTCGGTTGATGAGGAGAGGGTGGTGCTGATGCTTAAGCCTGGGCGTTCGGGTTACCCGATTTTTTCGGGTCGGGTAATTCAAAATTCGGGTAATAAAAATTGCTACTCGATATTACCTTCGAAAAAACACTACCCGCACATTAGCGATGGATAATTCGACAACTGTTCGCAATTACCCGATATACCCAAATTTACATAAAACAACAAACTACACTAAATTTCAATGAGCGATCTATACATAATTTCAGCAGCAATTTGTATAGAATTTCAATAGCAATTTGTAGAGAATAATATATTACATTTCACTCATTCAAATAGAGAGAATTATATTCTAATAAAGTGATAAGTTAAATGGTTCATTTTGATAAATACAAAGACAAAACAAATCTTTGGGTAGTTCATAGTTTGGTATCGGGGGATATTACCGAATTACCCAAACTAATTTCGGGTAATCAAAATCGCTATCCGAATTTGGGATCGGATACCTCGGGTTCGGGTAATTCGGGTCCGGGTTCGGGTAATTCGGGTACGGGTAATGGGTATCGGGTATTTTACCCAGGCTTACTGATGCTGATGCGCTGGTGCCTTTGCATTTTCCTTTTATATATAAGCACCCGTTTTATATTTATCGAGATAGATGCTTAGCGTTAGCGATGGCTAGTGTGACAACTGTCTGGCAATTTGTGATCTACTACCATATACTGATACACACGATTAACTCCTCTTTCTTTTTCAACGAGGAGAGGAATTTGGAACTTTCTGCGTTTAGGCCATTTTATCAAAACAAAGGAAAACCATATGAGTTTTAGATCTTAGAAAATTGTTCTATATGTTCCTTTTATATAAAGGATTAATTAAATTCTTTCTTTGAATTCCTATGGGATATTATAAAATCATAGAAATTTTAGAGGAAAACTAGCATGAGGTTAGACGTATAAAAACTTCCCTTTATGTCTATATTTCTACAGTTCTCCTATATTACAGGTGTCCGGGGTTTTTTTTTTTTTTGTTATGAATGGTAACATGCAATTATGAAAAAATATGAATTATCTCTTGTGAGCTACTAGTTGATAGTGTAAAATTGTTGCCCGGAAATTCCTAAAAATACAGGCACATGGCAATAGCAACTCCCATACTAGATTTCCTGTATTTTTTAAGTTTCATGCAATTCTAATCATATGTTTTTCATATTCTTGTTTCTAAAATCCTTTGTTTCAAAGAACCTTAATAAATTTTGCTAGAAAACTTCTGAAACTTTTTATTCGGCTAGGAAGTTGTTCTTTAACAGCTGATGAGACTGCTTTTAGCGTCTTGTAACGGCGTAAAGAGGGAACTAGTAGCTGTGTGGCACACTTTTCACCCTTGAACAGATGAAACTGCAATATTCAACGGCATTTCTAAATCTCACTTTTTAAATCATCATTTGAAGAGTAATTTGTATAAAAATAGTTTTCTATATCTTTTTATCTTCCAACAGTTCTTCTACTTATGCGCACTCTAGAGAGTCATTCTCATCTTCTATCTTCTATTTTTGGCTAGCAAAAATTCAAAATACAAGATGCCTATATTTGGGTAACCATTTAGATAAGCTGTTGTAGGGTAGTTTTTCATCAAAATGTGTATTCCTAACATTTAGGAAGGATATGGAGAATCTCCTTAAGATGCTCTAATAAGTTCAATATTAGCTTGTTTGTAGGCTTGTTTTTTTTTTTTTGACAATGACATGTGACACTTTGATCCCTAATATTGTGTTAGACAAGTTATTTTTTATTTTATTCTGATGGTATATTGTCTCGTAGTGCTCAGCACAAAATGTTGGAGAAAATGCTAAAAAAACGGTGGGTGCGGTTGGCGCTGGTGACATATTTCATCATGTCACGGTACTGTTGGAGAGATATCGCTTTGTAAGCAAATCATGTTGTTTTATGAATGGGTATGGGTGGGTGAAATATCCAAGGCCCCGTACGGAATCCCCCCAAGAAAAAGATTTGAAAACAACCTGTCTGGCTGTCTACTTTATCATACCAGTAGTACTATTAGTAACTCAACTCATAGACATTCGCTTCATTTGTTGGTTGGTTTCTACCGATAAGTCCGTCTGATATTGGTTTGTTGTGAGAGAAAAACACTATTTTAGCCCTGGCTAAAACATACATGCGAATAGGCTGAATGTCATGTGGATCGATGCACCAGCTGTCGTCTCTCAACAATCTTTAGTAGAAATTCTAGTACAAGTTTCGGTTGCAAAATGAAAATGGCTTGATAATTGATCACTTCAGACTGAAAAATGCCGATTCTTAGTTCTCACACCGTCCTCGTCGATGACAGAGCGGTTTTTGCATGTGTCCGGGTCTACGGTTTTGTCCCATGCCTTCCAAACCATCATGCGCGTTTTTTATGTGAAACGGTCGATCATTTCGTGGCATGCACCGCAAGACAAGGAATTAAATCTTCTGGAGAAATGGGCTGGAACGAAGAGAGAGTCGTAAAACGTCCAAATCTGCTGATCCTGCAGTTTCTCAACTTGTGTGTTTAGTTAAGTAGTAGCCCCCCCTCAAAAACTGAAAAACAAAATCCGAACAACTTGTGCTTGGCAGCAGCAACGCCTTCGCATTAGCATAAAAAAAACGCCTTCGCATTCGCAACATCGGTTTTCTTCTTACGTTATTCGGGCGTTTATTGCAGTCTTCTTCTGCCTTGGGAGAATGAATGAATGGAGTGTTCAGTTCAGACGTTTTCCAGTTGATCGATTCATACGCAGGCGGCTACCGCCTATCGAGTTTCGGGGACAGCGGACAGAGCACCTAGCCGGAGTCGTCCTCACGTTTTTTTTTGTGTTGAACCGTCCTTCCTCGCTGAAAATGATTTGGACGCATCTAGTTTTTTCTTTACGCGCTCTCTCTACGGAAGCCTTGTTCCCATCGTCAAATATCAACTGGAGCCCAACAGGATCGCTGATTGGAACGAAATACCTGACTTTCCGCCAGACGATAATAACTTTTAATTTAGTAGAAGTTTGGCGCTTACGATTCGGTTTCCGATTCAAGATCACGTTTTATCTGCTTATCAACCCTGCACTATCCGATTGATGTCGCCACGAAGACTAGTCTCTGTCAGCAAATCAAGAACGCAAGTCGAAACAATAAATTAAAAAACACAACTGAATATGCTGAAAAAGATTAAACTCACATATTGTGGTCTCACAAACAGATGTACAAAGAGACTATTTAATGATGGATTAATCTAAGCAAAATATAAACACTAAATTAGGTGATAACTACTGCATATAAGACTAGGGGCATCCAAGGGAACCCTCGAGATGTCACTAATAGAACCCGACACATACACAACCGAAGGCCAAAAAAAAACAGTGATATAGCATCTGATAGATTATGTATGTTCATTCGTTTTGACGATTCTCATTGTCTCATAAAGAGTTTGACGTGAAACCGGTGCTATTAGCAAAGCTTATTTTCTTAACTTTTTGTGCATACGTAAAACGTGAAAAATGATATCTATATATCACCTAGGCAACAATTTTAGCGCGGCCTGCTCTTAAAGTCCAAGATGAACTTGAACTTTATGGGATTTGACCTCTAACTTTTAGAAGCCGACACTGACCTTCTTCGCCTCGATGCTTCTCTTCATGCATTTCTTCTTGATCCTCTCTAATGCTCCTAAGAAAAATTAATATCATAGGCAGTAATATATTCTTATATTGACAAAAATGATTACTTAGGAATGAGCTCAAGTGCAGATTTACATGTTGTTTGGTTTGAGAAATCACTCCATACTAGATAAGATGATGTATCATGTGTTCATTTCTTAATTTGGTGGAATATTAGTATTTCTCATACTAGTATTGATTGTTAGATTACGAGGAATGTGGTGATGATGGACCAATCTATTCCATTCCACAAAACAAACAAAAAAGTGAAGTGAGAATATGGGGACTAACTTATTTCTTAAACCAAACACTAACCACATGCTTAGTGCTATATATATGACCTAACCTAACCCGAAAAGGACCCATCCAAAGTAGAACACCCACCAGAATTAAGGAATATTGAAAATGTGTGGTGCTTAGAAAATAAGGGGGGAGAGAGAGAGGCAGAGAGAGATATAGAAAAGGAGGTGTAGTGGGAAAAGAAAAAATGTGTATTGTGACAAGAGAAAAATGTATTAGAAAGTGAGAATGTTAAGTATTTTGAGATAAAACGCACTGGCAGGTCATGTTGAATTCTACATGACCTGCCAGTGCGTCTGGTTAGATTCGGGGTAAAATTTTTGACTCGATTAACCGGATGTTTGATCATACCACATATATACAGTGATGTCATCAACCCTATCATCAACCAGAGGAGGCACACCCGTTTATTCGCGGTTGCTTCGCTTTGTCGATGCTCCAAGAGCTGTGGTGGCAGTCTAGTCGGCGTAACAGATATCTACAGCAGCAAGCATAGGGCATCCAGCATGCGAGACATTTTCTATTGTGGTATCGGTTCCAATTGAAAAATTCGAGACGAGAACACGGCACGGCACGGCACGGCAGGGCCAGGCAGGCAGGCGGAGGTAGACAGACTCTTT